CAACGCCCGGCTATTTTTTGGTTGCAGCCGTCATTGTTGTTTTGGCAGGTCCAGGCTGGGGATTTGAACCCGCCACCTTAGGTGTACGTGGCTGGCTCCTTAGCCGGTTGAGCTATAGGCGCCGAGCCGTCTTTCTACTTTCTTTATTTTTCTTTTCTTTTTATATTTTCTTGCAGTTTTTTTTGGCCGGGGCTGAGTTTGAACCCACCACCTCCAGTATATGGGGCCAGCTCCACAGAATATTGTCTGCATATATAATATATATCACATACAAGTAGCAGTGAGGGTTGCAAGAGGGAGTTGGTAGGGCCACAATGAAACACTGATGGTAAAGATTTAATAACTGTTGAAAATGGTACATGTATTATTCTACTTTTGTCTGTTTTGAAAATTTCCATGGTGGCTCACACCTGTAATCCTGGCACTTTGGGAGGCTGAGATGGGCTTGATTTGAGCTCAGGAGTTTGAGACCAGCCTGTGCAAGACAGAAACCCCATCTCTAAAAATAGCCAGGCATTGTGGCAGGCGCCTGTAGTCCCAGTTACTTGGGAGGCTGAGATCAGAGAATCACTTGAGCCCAGGAGTTTGAGGTTGCTGTGAGTTTTGATGTCAGGGTACTCTACCGAGGACAACATAGTAAAGTAACACTGTCTCAGAAAGAAGAAAAGAAAATTTCCATAATAAAAGTTTTAAGAAGTGTCTAATTAATTTGTAATTAGTGATTAATTTGCTTGTTTTGTTTTGTTTTTGAGACAGAGTCTCACTCTGTTGCCCCAAATAGAGTGCCTTGGCATTATAGCCCACAGCAACCTCAAATTTTGAGCTGAAGTGATCTTGCTTCAACCTCCTGAGTAGCTGGAACTACAGGCACCAGAGTTTAATTTGTAAACTTTTTCCATGAGAAAATTACCATCATTTCAGTTTATTTAACTGCTCTTAGAATAAGGACTGTTTTTTTCTGTTTTAAAGAAAAGTTACATGCCTATATAAAAGGATAACATCTATGATAAGATAGTTAACAATCAAAATGATTACTTTCCATGAAAGTTATATCTAAGTATAAATATAAATATATATATATACACATATATACACACACATATAAAATTTTTTTGTTTTTGAGACAGAGTCTCACTTTGTCACCCTTGGTAGAGTGCTGTGGCTTCATAGCTCACAGCAACCTCAAACTCTTGGACTCAAGTGATCCCCTTGTCTCAGCCTCCTGAGTAGCTGGGACTATAGGTGCCTACCACAATGCCCAGCTATTTTTAGAGATGGGGGTATCACTCTGGCTCAGGCTGGTTTCGAACCTGTGAGCTCAGGCAATCCACCTGCCTCACCTCCCAGAGTGCTAGGATTATAGGTGTGAGCCACCACCGTGCCCGGCTTAAAAGTTGTATTTTAAAAATTCCTATTAGAAATAGGAATTCCTGGCTTGGCGCCTATGGCTCAAATGGCTAAGGCGCCAGCCACATACACCTAAGGTGGCGGTTCAAATCCAGCTCGGGCCCACCAAACAACAATGATGGCTGCAACCAAAAGATAGCTAGGTGTTGTGGTAGGTGCCTGTGGTCCCAGCTACTTGGGAGGCTGAGGCAAGAGACTTGCTTGAGCCCAGGAGTTGGAGGTTGCTGTGAGCTGTGATGCCACAGCACTCTACCCAGGGGGAAAGCTTGAGGCTCTGTCTCAAAAAAAGAAAGCAAGAAATAGGAATTCCTTTAGTTCACTTTAGCCCACACCTGCTACATAGTAAAAAAACACTCAGTGTAAAAACAATAAATAAGAACTAAAAAGACAAAAAATTGTATCCAACTATCACCTTGTCCTTGGTATGATTGTTTTGTCTAAAGATAAAATATAGAAGAGGGAAAAAACTCTACACTTTAATCTTATATAAATTAAATTATACTATTTAGAAGCAAAAACTGAACTTAGTTCCTTCATTTAAGTTAGTGCTATGACTAAGCCTCCAAATTGCAAAATAAACTTAAAGATTTAAATAAAAACCCTTCTAAGGCTGGGCCTGTGGCTCACACCTGTAATCCTAGCAATCTGGGAGGCCAAGGCGGGTGAATGGCCTGAGCTCAGGAGTTTGAGGACAGCTTAAGCAAGAGCAAGAGCAAGAATTCATCTCTACTAAAAACAGAAAAACTAGCAGGGCACTGGGAGGGTGCCTGTAGTCCCAGCTACTCAGGAGGCTGACGCAAGAGGATCACTTCAGCCCAAGAGTTTAAAGTTGCTATGAGCTATAATGCTAAGGTACTCTACCTGGGGCAGCACAGTGAGACTCTGTCTACAAAACAAAACAAAGAAACAAACAAAAAACCTTTCTAAAAATACAGGGTGGACATAAAGTTTGCATGCAATTTAAAATAGTTTAACATGACTTGGTGCCTGTGGCTCAAGTGGCTAAGGTGCCAGCCACATACACCTAAGGTGGCGGGTTTGAATCCAGCCTGGGCCTGCCAAACAACAATGACGGCTGCAACCAAAAAATAGTGTTGCAGCAGGCACCTATGGTCCCAGCTACTTGGGAGGCAGAGGCAGGAGACTCGCTTGAGCCCAGGAGTTGGAGGTTGCTGTGAGCTGTGATACCACAGCACTCTACCCAGGGGGACAGCTTGAGGCTCTGTCTCTAAATAAATAAATAAATAAAATAAAATAGTTTAACATAGTAAATTGTACACAAACTTTATGGACACCCTGTATGTATTAGTTCTTTTATGTGAACAATCCCTTCAAAAAACTGAGTGCGCACATAACTAGAAAATTTTTGCAAAGGAAAGGCAGTTAAACAGGGAAAAAGGCAATTAAAAATTGAATTGTTATACTCCTTAGTTTTAGATATGGGAAATTAAATACAATTTAAGGTTTACATATTGCAAAAAACATAAAAATGTCTTAATTCCTTTTGTTTCATACCTACTCCAAATATAAAATACCATTCAGGCCGGGCATGGTGGCTCACGCTTGTAATCCTAGCACTCTAGGAGGCCGAGGTGGGTGGATTGCCCTGAGCTCAGAGGTTCGAGACCACCATGAGCCAGAGTGAGACCCTGTCTCTACCAAAAATCACTGGGCGTTCTGGCAGGTGCCTATAATCCCAGCTACTTAGGAGGCTGAGGCTAGAGAATCACTTAAACCCAAGGACCCAAGGGTTGGGGGAGGTTGTTGTGAGCTATGATTCCGCGGTACTCTACTGAGGGCCAGAAAGTGAGACTCTGTCTCCATAAAAAAAAAAAAGAAAGAAAGAAAATGAAAGCAAAATTCAAAAAAAATACCATTCAAATTTCTACTTCTAAATAAACGATCTGAAAACACACCAAAGCACAGGAATAACAATTCTACCTGAAAAAGATCCAGAAGAGGCTTCCAAGACAGCATTAAGACTGCTGCTCTGTTGATGGTTTTGGGAATTTCAGAATAAAACAGTGTATTTTCTCTGTTCTCACCAGACATGGCTATAAAAGAAAATAATCATTATTTTTTTCAAACAGCACTCTTACTACAATTATAATAGCAAGTACATAATGCCTTCTATATATGTTGCAATATAGGATATGCCTATGTCATATGCCATAGAAATTTTTCTTCAATAAAATTAAGGCTTTAGGCCAGGCACAGTGGCTCAAGCCTATAATCCTATCATTCTGGGTGACAGGATTGATGGCTTGAGCTCAGGAGTTCAAGATCAGCCTGAGCAATAGCATCTCTACTAAACATAGAAAAATTAGCCAGGTATTGTGCTGGGTACCCGTAGTCCCAACTACTCAAAAGGCTGATGCAGGAGGACTCACTTGAGCCAGGAGTTGCAGGCTGATGTGAACTACGACACCAAGGCACTCTAGCCTGGGCCAGAAACAAAATCAATTAAAAAATAAGGCCTTATAGAAAAATGCTGAGGTTTCATTTTAATATTCAGATATTCATCCCTCTCAAAGCAAATATAAAAATATGTATGATGATGTAAGGAAAGTTAAAACAACATCACTTTTAGAATTTTTTGACAATTGTTAGTCCCTTACGAGTTGGCAATAGACTCCTAAGATTCCAATGTGACAACTTCAGATTACTGTTTATTCTTCCCCTGAAACATTTAAAGTACTTACTTAGAAACACAGTCTAACTGCATTCTAGTTTTTCTTCATTATAAAAGTTCTAGGCTCAGCACCTGTGGCTTAAGCGGCTAAGGCGCCAGCCACATACACCTAAGGTGGTGGGTTCGATTCCCCAGCCCGGGCCCGCCAAACAATGATGGCTGCAACCAAAAAAATGGCCAGGCGTTGTGGCGGGCGCCTATAGTCCCAGCTACTTGGGAGGCTGAGGTAGGAAACTCGCTTGAGCCCAGGAGTTGGAGGTTGCTGTGAGCTGTGATGCCACAGCACTCTACCCAGGGGGATAGCTTGAGTCTCTGTCTCAAAAAAGAAAAAAAATAAAATAAAGTTCTATAACTATAATAATTAATAAGGCCTTTGGAGTTTCAAATAAAAGTATACTTATACTGGCTAGGTGTAGTGGCTCATGCCTGTAATCTAGTACTCCAGGGGGTGAAGGCAGATGATCGCTTGAGGTCAGGAGTTTTACACCAGCCGATGCAAGAGTGAGATGATGGCTCTAGCAAATATAGAAAAAAGTAGCTGGACACAGTGGTGCATGCCTGTAGTCCCAGCTACTCAGGAGGATCACTTGAGCCCAGAAGTCATCACTGGACTCTACCAAGGGCAAGACTTTGTCTCAAAAATAGAAAAAAGTATACGGAAATAACTTAAACACTTAAAATACTGGAATAACTTTATTTAAATAATTGTACTTAACACAGACTCTGACATAAGGTTTACTACAAATCTCTTTGGGTCTACTACAAATCTCTTTGTTCTTTATTGGGGAAGGGCAAAAGAAACAGAAAGTCTAAACCAAGTAGAAGCCAATCTATTTGTGAAATCATACAATAAATGAATGGGAAGATCTTCCCATTCTATACTGCTATTCTCAGCAGTATAGAATAAGCTACATAGAAAAGGAGTAACAGAGGTGGCACCTGTGGCTCAAAGGAGTAGGGCGCCAGCCCCATGTGCTAGAGGTGGCGGGTTCAAACCCAGCCCCAGCCAAAAACTGCCAAAAAAGAAAATAAAAAAAAAAGGAGTAACAGACACTATGGTTATGAAAAATTGAACCAATGGAAACTTGAACAAAACAAAACAAGTCCTTCTGCTCTAAGAGGTACTAAAAAGGTTATCACTTCCAAAAAGCTAGGGGAGAGTGATGGACGGAGAAAGTAAATCACAAAGAAAGAATCTATTTCTATTTCACAAATAGATTGGCTTCTACTTGGTTAAGACTTTCTGTTTCTGAGAAGAAATTGTCTCTCAGATGAAACAGATCTTCAGCCTATGTCTCTGGATAAGGGCAGCAAAAGGTAGTTTGTGGGAAGGCATGATAATTTCCATGCTAACCTTTGCAAAGATTGAGGATGAGCCCCCAACTATCCCTATCTTACTTTATCCCCCCCCCTTTTTTTAAACCTTTTTTAGTTTGTGTTGCCTTTAGAACAAAAAGTTAGACATATGCTGACATTACTTCAGCACTTGGTTTTGTCTAAAATGTATTTTGCATATTCCAGAATTGTTTCCTATGGATTTTTTCTTTTAAAGAAACAAGGTCCCGCTCTGTTAACCAGGCTGGAATGTAATAGCCTGATTATAGCTTACTGTTTCCTGGAACTCCTGGGCTCAAGCAATCCTTTCACTTTAGCCTCCTGAGTAGCTGGGAGTACAGGCGTGTACCACCAAGCCCAGCTCCAGATAATTTGTTTGTGTGTGTGTGTGTAGAAAAGGTCTCACCATATTGATCAGACTGTATCTTAAAGTCATAGCTGCAAATGATCTTCCTGCCTTGCTTCCTACAATGCTGAGATTACAGGTGTGATCCACTGCATGAAGGCTGTTATAGAATTTTTTCTTTTTTTTTTTTTTTTTGAGATAGAACCTCAAGCTGTCACAGCTCACAGCAACCTCCAACTCCTGGGCTCAAGTGATTCTCCTGCCTCCACCTCCCAAGTAGCTGGGACTACAGGCACCCGCTACAACGCCCGGCTACTTTTTGGTTGTAGCCATCATTGCTGTTTGGTGGGCCCAGGCTGGATTCAAACCCGCCAGCTCAGGTGTACACGGCTGGCACCTTAGCCACTTGAGCCATAGGTGCCAAGCTTTTATTTTTTTTTCTTGAGACAGGGTCTCACTCTGTTGCCCAGACTGGAGTACAGTGGTATCAGCATAGCTCAATGCAGCCTTGACCTGCTGGGCTTAAGCAATCCTCCTACCTCAGTCTCCTAAGTAGCTGGGACTACAGAGGCCATACCTGTATGTTTTAATTTTTTTGCAGAGATAGGGTCTCACTATGTTTCTCAAGCTAGTCTCAAACTCCTGGCCTCAGGTGATCTTCCTGCCTTGGTCTTTCTTTTTTTTTTTTGAGACAGAGCCTCAAGCTGTCCCCCTGGGTAGAGTGCCGTGGCATTACAGCTCACAGCAACCTCCAACTCCTGGGCTCAAG